ACTGTGGGTCATAAAGTTGAATTAATTGGGGAAGAAAATGGATTAGAGAAACTTTCTGAGGAAGGAGATGTGATTCAGACTTTCTGTGGTGTGTTAGCTTAGCACTCGTGCAGAGGGAAAAATAAAGAAGTTGTGGGTCTCCTCCTTACAGTCAGCACCACGTGCAATAAATACATGTATTTACTTCATCATTTTTGGAGGAGGAGTGTGTGGAGGAAAGAATCCACAAAGGTTTACCAAGGGAAAAAAGAGCATGAATTCAAATTATTTCTAGGGAGCTGTAAGAACTAGTTTTTGTGATTTGCTCTACTTCAAACTCTATCCCCAGTGGTGACTCATGAAACAGAATGTCAAACTATAGTAAATTCAAGGAATAGATACAGCACTAAAAGACTGAAGGGAAGCCAAAATGCATGTGAAAGTGGGCAGTCAAAAGGAAAAAGAACAAACAGGGAGGCTAGTGGGAGGGTGGAGGGGGAACAAAGGGAATCTGAGGCAAGGAGGTGAACTGGGAACGTGACAATACGATGAGTTGCACAGAAATCTTCTCATATTTCATTACATATTCTCCACTAACTTATTTGGAGCTATTGTTTCTCAAAAGAAATTTGAAATGTGTTTTGAAGGGGGAATGGGAGCCTCAGGCGAGCAGGGGAGAAATCTGTTTGGATGAGTTCTTTCTTGGCTTGTAGAAAAAGCCAGGGGAATAACACTTGGAAAGTGTGGTGATTTGCAACTTGCACTTGCCACTCAAACAAATGTCTAATTTCTATGTTTCTGTGATGTACAGAAATACAACATCTCACATCAAAATACAAGGCACTGGTGGTACTTTTTCTAGAGGTGAGGTGGCCTGTGGTCTCATGGAGGGTCTCTGAGAGCCCAGTGCTGGTGGCTCCACAAGCACCCGGTTGGGTTTGTGCAAGTTCTTGGCTTGGTGCTTCCCTGGGCTGAACTTGCATGGGCTGGGGACGGGGACACAGCCTTTAACACCCCAAAGGAGGAGACAGGGACTGAAGGCTGTAAAGAACCAACATGGAAATCCACAAAACTCAAGCTGGGCTACTGATGAGGAAAAGCTCTACAGTTTAGCAGCTCTCAGCATCCTGATCCTGTTTGACTTTGCAGGCCACTGTTCTCATCTCACAAATACTCAGAGCTGCTTGCAGCCAGCCTGTGTGTGCTGGGAAGATTTTTAGTCTGATTTCTGAAGGAAATGAGGCATCTGCAATCAGCCTAGGTTTTTCTCCCCGTGCCTTTAATGAAGCACGACAGCGTGGATTTCCATCAGCTGAATTTCACTGAAGTATAGGACTACTCGGCTACACAGCAAGGAGAACCTGCAAGCCCCAAAGGCACAGCTAGCTTGGTTGGGAGAATAACTCTGCAGAGAGCTCAACCCTCTCAGCTCTGCAGATATTTCTGCAGATCCCTCACACAGAGATGCTCCTACAGTCACTCTTTTTCTCCCCGTGTCTCTAATGAAGCACGACAGCATGGATTTCCATCAGCTGAATTTCACTGAAGTATAGGACTACTCGGCTACACAGCAAGGAGAACCTGCAAGCCCCAAAGGCACAGCTAGCTTGGTTGGGAGAATAACTCTGCAGAGAGCTCAACCCTCTCAGCTCTGCAGATATTTCTGCAGATCCCTCACACAGAGATGCTCCTACAGTCACTCTACAGCCCTTTGTTGCTGTTCCCTATATAGAGGCAACCTGTGTGTCATCAACGCTGCAAGAGGGACTTCTGTGTTACCTCGAGTGATGAGAATGCCTGCTGCTGCTTTTAAACATAAGCCAGACCCACACAAAACCAGCACAGTTTTCTGCCTGGCAACCCCCAGTACACCCAGGTCCGGGTGGTGACAGTGGCTCTTCTCAGACTCCTTCTGGGTCTGAGATATCTCACCATGTGGGAGAAACACGTACAAAGGCAGTTTCAGTGGCTTCAGACCTGCTCAGCTCTCTGCCCTTCAAGCAAGCTTCTGGATACTGGAGGGCTGACTGCATGCACATGACAATCTAAGTGTCTGTATTTATAAGGCATGAGGGCTCTTTTTATTGCAAAACATACTAAAGCATTTACTGTCTATTTCTCTTTATTGATCTAGAATCACTGTATTTCCTTTCTTGGGATTTTAAGCTTCTCATTCACACGAGGCAAAAAGAATATATCTTTCCCGTGCAAAAAGGCATTAAGTTGCCAGTAAAGTCATTAGGCTTAGGCTGGAGTCTCCAAGAAATGCCCTTGTGTGCCTGGAGCCAACCCTCACAGGCATGGTAGGGACAGCAGAGGAGCTGTGCTGCACTTTCTGTTGGTGAGGGTGAGCTCCAGCTCCTTGCCCAAGGTGCCAGCTGTCTGATCTGAGACCCATCAGCCACAGAGAAAACTTACCAACCCCTACAGAAATTTTTGGAAGAGTTAGTGAAGTATCAGCCCAGGCACTGTCTGAATTGTTGAACTCTCTCCCATGCTGGGAATCTCCCCTCCAGGAAAATCCTAGGATTTAACCAAGAAAGAGGTGAAGGATGTGTTTTGATATTTAAGAGGACAAGAGGGAAATGTAAATGGGAGAACTCTTTCAGAAGAGCATCAGATATATGGTGGTGCTCTTCAAGCCCTGTCTTGCATCTTAAATGTAGCCTGCAAGGTTAACAAAATCCACAGACGGCCACACTGGGAGTGCTGAGTCATTACATTTTACACAGTCCTTCGCAGTATGAAACCTGGATGGTTCCCAAGAGTGAGCAATCTGGAAATAAAAATGTGTCTGATCAATAAAGTGAAATGGCTTGAAGAAATCTGAGTTTAGTGCTCTGTGAGTCTTAATTGGCTTTGCAAGTATCAGAGGTGACCTTGCCCTTCACAGCTTGGCTGTTACAGTGGTGCACAGGGTTATTGCAAGATAACAACAGCACAGTGGTGATCCTCGTGCTTTTGGCAGCCCAAAAGACACTGATCCCAGGAGAAATCAGCATTCAGAAGGGCTGGCAAGAATGGCAAAATGTCCCAGTGGCACCTGATGGGCTGCAGTTTTCATGCCCTGCTTGTGTAGAGAGCCATAACATCAACTCTTTCTACACCAGATGTTGGCTAATGCTTATTTGTAGCCCTACATGCCAGCTGCTTATTTTTTTTTTCAAAGACATGAGATATAGACATACAAATCACTAACATAGGTGGCCTAATAAAAAGGCAAGTGTAAGTATTCAAACAGCACGAGCTATTTAAACAGGGAAGTTAAATAAAATCCATCCCAACTGGCTTTCAATTCTTGGCCCCATGAGCTAAAAATCAATTGATTTTACTTACAGAATGCTAAAACCTCCAGAGGAAACACTCCTCTCTTCTCAGCTCCTTGTGTGGACAGAATAAACCTCAGAGGTTTTACGGGGGTTGGCCAACAGAGACAGCCCATCAGTGGCCAGGCATCTCCTTCCTCGTGTGCTCTGGTCCCCCCCAGCACATTGCCCTGCCCTTTCATCCCCTGTTCCAGGGCTCTGCCATCCTCACCCCAAAGAAGTCCTTCCTCAGATTAGAGTGGAATATCCCACATTCCAGCTTGTGCCCATTGACCCTTGTCCTGCGGAGTGGAATATCCCAAGTTCCAGCTTGTGCCCATTGACCCTTGTCCTGTCACTGGAACCATGGAAAAGAGTCCGGCTCCATCCTCCTTCAAACCACCCTTTAGATACTTAGAAGCATCTGTATCTGCCAACCTCCATCCCAACACGGCCCCCACACCCTGCCATGGACCCATCCTGGGGTTTCTAGAGCTGGAAGCACAAACCAAGGGCTAGATGGACGCCCAAACATGGTGAATTTACAGCACTCAGTAGGTTTTTCTAAAAGGCATCCAAAAATGGAGGTTTCATTGCCACAGGCAGATCTCCCCAAGGTTCTGCAAAGCTTGGCCGACCTTGGGGTCACATCTTACTCCCACGGCTCTGAAACCAGAGCCTTCAGTCAAGCAGTTTTCACAGGGGCTCCACAACTTCTGCAGGAAGGCGACCGCTGGCAGCCTCCTGAGTTTTATTCAATTTGACAGTACAGTGGCCACAGCAATGAGATTTGTGAAGCCTTAGGAGCACAAAATTGTCAGCAAAAGGACGGAGATCTCTTTTAAGTCTTCCCTTACCCATCCCTCCCCCCACCAAAAAAAAAAAAAATTACATTTCTGTAGTGTTAGCAAGAAATTCACAGACCTCCAAGGGTAAAGATGCCAATTAGTGGTAAACAGTGGTGCCGAGGGTGATATGCTACTGTATAATCTTATGATGGCATGGTAAATAACTAGTGCCATTTTCTTGTAACACACTTAGAACTTTATCAGGATAAACATTAGAGACTACATCGCATTTCTTTATGTTTTTCACTTACTATTAAACTCCTGGCTGCTTCAATGAGCCCTCTGTGTACAGCTTGACTGCAGACTGGTGATCTGTAACTTTCTGCAGTATGATATTATCATTTCTCAGGTCCTCTTCAACTCCAGCTGTAACTTTTCATGGGCAAAGATGGATGCCACGAGCAAAACCCAGGCACGGGCAAAATTCATCTCAATTTATCCTGGACAGAAAAAGTAACTGAGGATACCTTGCTGAAAGCAAAATATACTGCTTGAATGAATTTACAGTAAGTAATAAAATACAGCAGGGAGAGAACATTTACTGTGGGGGAATAAGGCAATATATGATGTCGGTAATTCACTTTAAAACGATGCTAGTATGCAAGTATAAAGGTGATTATCAACTTTTTAGGCATTAAAGTTACATTTATAAGCCAGTTGGTGTGTGACACCTACAAATATGAAAGAGCCACTTCTGATTTCTTCCATAAAAAGCTATATATGTTTTATGCCACTCCCAGGACTGGCAGCTCCCGCAGCAATAGTGGTGGACAAGGGCAGGCTCACGGCTCACATAAAGGCAAAGTCCAGTATCCTCAGGACCAGGTTAAAAACACTGAAAAGCAAAATGTCTCACCTAATCCATGGAGGAACTGCTGAGGGCAGACCCGGAACTGAATCAGATTTTCAGACATCCCAAGCCCGATGCTCAGGCTCATCTTCATCCCAACCGTGCAGAAACCAGACAAGAAACACCATCATAGACACTGCAAGCTGGAGCTGGCTAGCCAGCAACACTGTGTTATAAAATGAGATTATTTTAGCATAGATTCAAAAGGATGTAATTTTACATAATGAGGCGTCTGTAGAGGTGTCATAGACATGAGCTCTGTGCAACTTTGTTGTTCTGAGGAACCACTCGGACAACTTTTGGCTCCTCAGCCCAAAAGCACAGCGCAGCTCCCTCTCTGCTCCATTCACCCCGAGTCCCCCTGAGCCCTGGAGGTGCCCAAAGAGGCCACCTGGACCCCTCTTCTCCACATTTCTGCTTTGGACTTCTGGCTTCTTTTTCTGAAGATGTGCACTGGGAATTATGCAGAATATTCACACACAGCTCCAGTGACACTTGCTTGTCACTACAGCAAACACATTACTCACCACAGCTGGATAAGGCAGCTCTGAACACCGTGATTTCACCACCTCTTCTGATACCTGGTATCAGCTCCCAGAGGCAGATGATTACAGGGGGTATCTCATGTCTTCTTTGCTTCCCTGAAAAGCTTAGAATAAAGCCTGAGCATGTGCACTCTGAAGACTTAAATCCTAGAAGGAAAAAAAAAAATAACACCAGCTATATTACTTTCTAATTCTCATGATTTTGTAAGTCAATATCATGGTTTCAGGGCATTTGGGCTTGGTAAGCAGTCTCTGAGCTGAATCCTCCACCCCGCAAAGCCTGGACAAGGAGATTTTCCAACACGGGCTTGACCTTTCTGTCCCTACACAAGGAAATGCTGCTGGTTTCAGTGACCTGGTGACCACCAGATTAGGCTTTGCAGTAACTGCTGGCTAAAGCAGTGATCCCCTAGTGCAGAGGGGTTTGAGACTGTCAGTGCTTCAGGAGCAGCTTGGGGAGGGATGAGGAGGTGCCCTTCAGGTCTCTCTGGGGAGGGATGAGGAGGTGCCCTTCAGGTCTCTCTGGGGAAGGATGAGGAGATGGCCCTTCAGGTCTCTCTGGGGAGGGATGAGGAGGTGCCCTTCAGGTCTCTCTGGGGAAGGATGAGGAGATGGCCCTTCAGGTCTCTCTGGGGAGGGATGGAGAGTTCAGTGCCAGGAAAGCCATTGGAAAGAAAGCAGTAACCTCAGTCCCTGCAGGTCCTTCAGGTTTTTCTGGCTCCTTGGATTAACCTCCAGGAAGATGCCTCGAGGAATGAAATCCCCCCAGATGAAGATGAGCTGGAGGCAGAGCTCATCCCACTTACTGTTTATCACCCTATTACTACAATGCTTACACGCGTGCATTTCAATAGCTCTTTCAAACAATAGCCAGGCTAATTAAAGTTCATTCTGAATGGGATTTTCCAAGCCTCAGCACTGCAGCCGGTGCACGAGAGGGACACACAGCACAAGTCTCCAGCTGCACCTTAGCTTGGTTTTTGTCAATATTGTACATTAGAGAGGGTTGAGCAGCAGGACCTCTCTGACACAGCCCCATGCTCTGCTACGGTGCAGATCCACCCTAACACCATCCAAATCAGCAATGTTGCTAGCAAAAAGAACAAAAACCAAACAAACCCACACCGTATCTCCATGACACAGATGTCCCATGAGCCCAGTGTGGCTGCAGCGGGATCAGATCAGCTGGGGAAGGGGTTAGGAGTGGGAAAGGAGAGCTTTAACCAAAGATCCTCTGAATCCCACAATGAAATGATGACTGGCTCAATGGTTCCTGCCTTTAAACCGCTAGCTCCTTTTCCCATCAAGAAGTCAGAATCTGCTGTGCAGGGCAGAGAGGACCTTTATCCTCCAGGCAAGGCATTCCTGTTCATCACAGTTTCTATAAGTACATTATAAATAATGCTTTGATAGTTCAGCTCCCCCATCAAAGCAGAAGCGTCCTTATTAGATTATTTAGAAAAGCCCGTAATTACCAGGGTTTAATTTATTAACAAGATGGGCAATTTAAACACTATCTTTGGAGACAATGAAAGTGTGCTAACTCTGGGACTGAGAACACGAACACCATGGAAACTGTCGCTGACAAAAGCTGGAGTGCCGCAGAGAGGTGGTTCGCCCACATGTTGAAAACACCCAGCACATTCTCTCTCTTCATATGGAACTAGGACACGTGTCGTTTGGGTTGCATGTGATGCTGGCAGGGAACAGAAGAGCAGTTTTTGGGTGTCCTCAGGCTTCTGCACCAGCTGTGAGCGCCTCTGCTGTACCAGCATCCCAGCACATCCCGAGAGGTGAGGGGGGATGCACTCCCTGGATACTCTGGACTGTGTTGGGGAAAATTGCTCTCTCCAGGCACCTTCCAGAAGTACATTTACTTCTCCAGAGGTCTATTAGAAAGACAGTGAAAAAAAAATATTGATAGAACAGTTGCTTCTGCCTTCCCTTATGACGTTAAGTCTGTTCTTCAGCAATGATGCATACTGGGGTGCTGGGCCCTTTCTGTGCAACCCCAGGAAGAGTAAGTACCCCATCTCTGCTCCCCATAAAGAGTGTTTCTTTCCCAACAAATGACAAACCGGGGCTGCCTGCAAGGGATGGGGACTTTCTGCTGGAAATCCCTTCGTTCAATGGCTTCAGGAACCTGGCTGAGGCTTCAGCAGACACAAACACCAGCTGCCATCAGCAGTGACCCTTCCCTGGCAGAAAAGCTGCAACTATCCCTCTGGAGTAAGCAGAGGGATGCAGAAGGTGTATTTAGCTTTAGGGGCCAGGCAGCAAGATATCTAGATTGTATATTAGGAGGATTTTTTTCACTGAAGCATTGTCAAACATTGGAACAGGGAAGTGGTGGAGTCACCATTCCTGGAGGTATTGAAAAGACAGGTAGACCTGGTGCTGAGGGACATTGGTTAGTGGGAACTTGGCAGTGCTGGGTTCACAGCTGGATCTGATCATCCTAAAGGTCTCTTCCAACCAAAACCATTCTGTGATTCTACGTCAAGGGATGTTGCGAGCCAGATGGAGATTTTGGAGGATGCTGGAGCGTCCCTGCAGTGGTGCTGGGGGAGCATCTCCTTGCAAGGTGCAGGGAGACACGCTGCCCCATAACACCCCCCAGCATTTGGAAAAGGCAACAGGAAACATGAAGAAAGTCTTATTTTCTGGTGACAGAAATGCTTCTGCCTCTTAGCTCAAGAGCAAAATTGCTGCCCTGTAATTAGTCCCGATGTGGAGCACTAGACAGCAGATATGTGCAGAGCAGGCTTCACGCCGTTAGATACCTTAATGAGGAGGTCAGTGTATTTTGCATTGAGGGATTTGGGATTTGTACGTTAACTGCAGTGGCATGTGTTAGAAGGACATGTGAATTAATGACATTATTTATAACCCATCTCATTATCACACACAGCTTGATGCCTCAGACAGCCGCTAATTCTCTTTAACAATTTCTATTGCTGGAAGTAAAACTGCTCTGCTTCAGCTGTGATCTGTTAGAAAAATGCTGCTGCTGTTATTGTTTTTTAATATAAAACGCTCTTTTCAAAGAAAGGCTCCATGATTGCATGATGTAACTCCCCTGAGTCCAAGTCTCAGATACAAAAATATTCATGTTGAGTCTGATAAATGAACAATGAACAAATTACATGCTTGATTTCCCTGCTTTGCCTTACTTTTGATCTCTAATATTAGATTGCTATAATTGTTTTTCAGCTTCTTGTGCGCATATTACCAATGTGTATGTTGCTATAGAAATGTAAAATTCAACATATTGTCCCTTAGATTTTAAAAGAAATGTGCCCCTCCTTCGATTTCCATTCTATTCTTTGACACAAAAATAAGAAACCATCGTCTGACAAATATTAAAGCCTCGGATATGATTCCAGCCTTTTTTCTGAAGAGGCTGTAGCATGGCACTGGCTTTTCTGACGGTTTTGGTTGAAAGAGGAAACTCAGGACCTATCCTGCTTAGGTAGAAAACATGGGAAAAGGCACATTTTTTCTTCTATATATCTATATCTATACATTGATAAGGTTTTGAGGGACTTAAAAGCATGAGGAAGAACTATAAGGAAACCAGACCATTTTCTAAACACAGACATCCAAGAGCAAAATCCATTCTTTCTCCTTTCTCCTGCCAAAAGAAATCACTATTTGCAAGGTCGGCTGCCCAGGGGCAACATCTCAGACCTGTCTTAGTTTCCTCCTCCTAGACTTGGCAGATGATGACTTTCTAGGCAAAGAATAGCAAGTATCTGTGCAGCATCCATGGGATAATTAATACTCACCTACAAACCTGGGGGGGATTTTTGCTCCTCCTGTGTGCTCTGAGCTGGCAGAGAGGGAGCTTGCACTGTGTGATGGTCTTCACCTGTCCTGAACGGAGCTGGAAAAGAGAGGAGAGACCACCCCACTGTGGAGGAAGAGCAGGGCTGAGGGTGAAGGAAGGTTCTGCTCGGCAATGAGCGATGCTTTTTGTGCTCCTGAGAAAATAAATAAACACGGGGGAACAATTAGCTCTGAACATAAGTGAAAATAATGTGACTTACCAGGCACCAAAACTGTTTTAGTGATGGGAAAGGAAATGAATTCATTATGACTGACAGTAATGCTAATAAAGATCCATTTCCAGAGGTGTGGATGAGCGGAAAGGGCCATAATCACAGCAGTGCACTCCACATTTTTTTTCCAAAGGGATGAAAGCAGAGTTGTTTGCTAGTTGTGACTGCTAAGGGAGAGCAGAAGAGGAGACAGGGAGGCTGGACCCCAACCCCACCCCATGCCAGGGTGGTGCTGAGTTACCAGGGATGGGGTCCCCCATCCCTCTGTGCTCCCCAATCCACTGAGAGCCGTGCTCACTCCAAAGGGGAGCACAGGAGAGAGCTCTTGCCTCGTGGGTGGGGAAGCTTTTTTTGGAAGGTATTTTCAGCAGCCTCTTCTGGCAGTCTCCACATGCAGGTGCTATGCTTAATCATAGCCTTCGTCAGCTGGCAAAACTACTGCCTTGCAGCTAATTCTCCATCCCTGGTGTGCCACTGGTAATCATCTCAGCACTAAGCTCTGCCCCAAACCAGCACTGCTCAATTCCACCTCAGAAGCATCATCTCCTTTGCACACACCTTTTTCCAGACTATGCAGGGGCTTGTCAAGCAGAGGGATAATCACATTACACATTGGGATGGGGTGGGAGTTGATTTACATCTTTTCTCTTGCCATGGGACTACCAGGATGGAGCGTGGAGGAGGATTTAACGATGTGTCATGTCTTTGGGCTAAAATGTCATGGACAAAAAGGACCCCACTCAAAACTGGTCAAAGGCTGGCCTTCTACTGGTCAAAAAGGCTGGCCTTTTGCAGGACCTTTAGAGAACTTTGCTCCCAGTGAGCTGTTCCAGACATCTTCCCCCGCAACGATCCATTGCTATGAGCTAATCTGTCATGTTAATTTAATGCAGCAGAATGCGACTAAATTGCACTTCACCCTTGATAAAAAAACCAAGTGTTTACTGGTGACGGTTTCCACAGAGGGAAGACCTTTAGGCACATTTATAACCCTCTTCCTCCCCACCCAGACTGGCTGGGCACTTCTCCTGCAGATGACTCCATGTGCAGTCATGGGATGGTCTCCAGGAGTGTGGCTGTAACCAAGCATGGGGTGACCCCACAGCTTTTGCTGTCTCTGCCTGCAGAAGGGCTGTTGGTGCTTTCCTCGGGCTCCTGTGAGGCATGGCAGACCCTTCCCAGGGCGGCTTATCTAACGAGACTGGAGCAAGTCAGAGCCCTGCTCTGGTTCCTCAGCCAAAGAACTTCCTCTCCCTCCTGCTGTACCGGGAGCCCAGCGAACCTTCCAGCCAGGCTGCAGAGTAAAACCATGTTGTCTCCATCTCTCCCTACTAGAAGGAGCACAATGTGTGCACCATCACCCCTGCTAACACCTCGAAGGATATGGAGCAGCAATAGCCAGCACTAAGGCCATTCAAACTGCCCTCTGCACAGTTACATCAATATTTTGGCAGTAATACCCCTCTTGGATGAGCTGAGTCACCACCTCTTCCACCTAGATATGTGTCCGTGCCTCATACCATTTGAAACTCTTTTTTTTCCATCTTTTTTTCTACCTCCACCAAAGCCCATTCCCCAGCTCGGTGACTTTCTCTCCTTGGGTTTTCTCTGTGGAGTGGTTTCCTGCTAAACACACACTGAAAACTTTCCACTGCCTGTGGACTTTGAAGCCCTCCGAAAGACAGACTTCTCACCTTTTCTGAAGCAGCAATTACCAGTAGAGACACTAATTGGCATGCTGCTGTCTCCAAGAGAGCAGAGAGAAACTCAAGGAGAGCGGTAATGTTACATGACGCAAAGGCCAGGGTTGTTCACAATTATTAAAGCACAAGCAAATACATAACAATATATCTAACACTCTGACTTTGCTGTACTACCCAGGTAAAGCAAAGTGAATCTTGAAGACAAAAAGACTCTAATTTTCCTCCAAATCAGGGGTCAAAATTCTGCTGCTGCAAGTAAATGAAATGCCACAGAAACTGGAGCCGCATCTACTTACATTTGTCATCTAGATTTAATTTAACCTTGATTTATCTGCTCTGACCCCAACTCCCCCAAAAACATACGGATGAAACCTCACCCCAAAGACTGTCCCCAGGCAAGTACCAGGGGCAGGAAAGCTGCACTTCTGCCCTGGCTCTGTAGGATAACTTGGAGAAGTTATTTTGAAAACGAAGCCTTAGAGCCAGGCTTGTCCATCACAGGCACTGGACCTGCTCCAGCCCCAACCCTGGCTGCCAAACTGGGGCCTGAAGATATTTCCCTCGGCTCTGGGTGGCCCAAAAATAAGAGGGGATGCAAACTAGCTCTCCAGATTACACCTGCCCAGCAGAAAGTGGGGCTGTGAGGCACCCAGAACACACATACACAATCCCATCACCAAATCCTGTCACCCCCAATAAGCCCTGCCCTGAGGGGGGAACTGACCCTCTCAGGGACCACATGGGCACAAAGGAGCATCAGAAAATGTTCTCCCTTCTGTTATAGCTCTTGTTTCTCCTTAACTTCATTTCTACCCAAAGAAGCATTTGCCATGCCACATGACTGTGCCTAAATACATCGTTTTAAAAGCAAACAGGCAAAAGCCAAAGAGGGTAAAACACCCGCTTGGATGGGTATTTTCAGAGACTCAGAAATTACCAACCCGGAGGGGACAGTGATTACCCTTCCTGACACAGTGCCTCGGCTGCCCTCAGCGCCACCCCCATTAATTCCTGCCGTGAGTCCAATTGCTGTGGGATCCAGAGCAGAGATTTCAGAGAGAAAAATCTGGTCATGTTTGGGAAAATTTCCTGTAATAACGATTTGACCACAACTCTCCTGCAAATTGTTCCCAGAGTTAATTTTCCTCACTCCAGAAAAAAACCACTGCTTTTCTTTTTTTTTTTCTTTTCTAGTTTGAACTAGCTTCAGTTTCCACTGAATCTTATTCTACTTGGTCTACTACACTGCAGCACCCACCGTTACCAGATCGCCCGCCATCACAAAGGCAAGCAAAGATGGCCTTGGTGGTGTATTCCACCCAGAATTATTTCTACCCTGGCAAATCACTCGTTTTCAGTTCTTAGAAACATATCTTTCCTCTTTCCCCACCAGGAGAAGGTCAAATACAGACTTCTCCTTTGCCAAATGAAACGCTTTTTCAGTTAGGAGATTGTCATCTATAATTACGAAATATTTCAAGGACATTTTAGCACTGGCAGCCTGAGACCTCCGTGTGTCAGTCAGGCTGAAGCCCTCATGAAGTTCAGTTTTTCTCCCCACGGATGAGAGGATGGTGGGACTTCTGTGGGACTTGGTGGCCAGCAGCAGTGGTCAGCATCCCGTTTCTGGGCCATCTCCCAGAACGCGTGTCCCCACGCAGCCACGGTCACAGAATCATGGAATTGTCGGAGTTGGAAGGGACCTTCTAGAGATCCTCCAGTCCAACTCCCCGCCAAAGCAGGGCTGCCCAGAGCACAGCACTCAGGAGCATCCAGGTGGGGCTTGAAGATCTCCAGAGAAGGGGACTCCACACCCTCCCTGGGCAGCCTCTGCCAGGGCTCTGCCACCCTCACCCCAAGGAAGCTCTTCCTCACATCCCAGTGGAACTTCCCATGGTCCAGCTTGTGCCCATTGTCCCTCCCTTGCTGTCCCTGGCAAGAGCCACCTGGTCATCCTTGCTGTTGTGAAGATAAACAGACTGTAGCCTAAAAGGTTAATCACCAGCAACAGTGGTATCTTTACCTCGATATACGCTATCTTTAGCTTTACGCACTTGCAGGCATCACCTAGAGTTTGCAAAAATATTCTGTGTTAATTGAAATAGAAAAATTAGCAACATGCTTCTAGAGATTTAGTGAGATGCCTACAAAAGCACTTTCAAACCATCGCTGAAATACTCGTCACCTAGTTTTCATTAAAAGCATCTAGTTTGCGGTAAATAAAAAATATCCTGGAATTTGAGTGACAAAAGAATTTCTAGAACCTTTAGTAAAAAGGACCATGAATACTGATGAGTGTTTCATCAGTGAAAGCTTAACTCTTCCTAAGAAGCTACTGCGTATGTAAAAAAAAAAAAAAAGGGTAGAAACTGAAAGCAGCTGAATTTGCTGGTGGATGTCTCAGGGTTACGTGAGATAGATGCAAACCCTGCACAGATAAAGATGTCATCAAAAAATAATGTCTCCTGATGCAGCTCAGGGACCACGGGTGCCTCTCCCACACACAGATGGGTTTCTGCTCCCTGCTCTTGCCCTGCCACCACCCCGGTGGTGGGGAAACCGTAATAAAATAGCAGGTGAAATTACTGTGCCCGCCCAATGCTACTTATTAAGGAAAGCCAATAAGCAGTGCTTGGGCTTCCCTTTCCTCCAACTTACACTGAGATTTTCTAGTTCATGCATGAGGTCGCAGTGGATGGCTGGACAGCTAATTATTGCTCTCTATTTCTGACTCTTCCTCTGCATTATAAGCATACTTAAAGGGCACTTAAAAAAAGCAGTCACAACCTAAATTAAAATGTACTACAAAAAGAAAACGTCCGGTGGGCTGGATGGGAAAGCAGACATACTTAAAGGGCACTTAGAAAAAGCAGTCACAACCTAAATTAAAATGTACTACAAAAAGAAAACGTCCGGTGGGCTGGATGGGAAAGCAGGTATTATACACCAGAGATGAAGTTGCCTTTTCCTCCCTTGAGATTTGCCCCTGGGCTTCTGTGCTTGCTTGTTTTGATTGTTCCATAGCTTTTTCTCTGCTGCTGTGGTGCAGAAACAGTGGGGTGGCTTCATACCAAGTGGAGAAGCTGCCACCTTCCCACCCCTGGGCAGGAGGAGGTAGCCCATGGCTGGTGCCCCGCTGCCTCCCACCATCTGCCTCCCAGCCTCTCCCTGGCAGGAGGAAAACCTCAGCTCAGAACTTCTCAGTCTCAGTGGAGGACA